CAGAGGAGAATTTTGTGGGGTTGGATTAGAGAAACTGATAGTGAATATGCTGACATTTTGAAGGGATGGGCATCTGTTCAGGTGATAATTACTTGACTTTTCATATGTCAATCGGTTAAGTTCATGTTTGTGGTACGAAGATGACTTATTATCTCTTTCTTGCAGTCGATTCCTAGGGCTGTCACGTTCGATCAGAAGACGGGGAGTAATATACTTCAATGGCCAGTCAGCGAAGTGGAAGAATTGAGATCAGATATTGTGGAGTTTGATAATGTAAAGCTTGGACCTGGATCCCTTGTTCCGCTTAAAGTTGACACACCTTCCCAGGTTTTGTGTTTTACCCTATAACCAGTAAGGAATGGAAAATTTTCCATTATTTTTCCCTAGGATTTATTTTGTGTATGTTGCAGTTGGACATAGTTGCCTCATTTGAAATTGATGAGGATGCATTTGAAGGAACAGTTGAAGCTGATGCTGATGCTGGTTACAGTTGCCCTACAAGTGGTGGTGCTGCTAATAGGGGGAAGTTGGGACCTTTTGGTGTTATCGTTCTTGGCGATAAAACTCTATCAGAGGGAACCCCTATCTACTTCTACGTTACCAAAGGGGCTAATGGAAAGTTCGAAACTCATTTTTGTGCAGATGAATTAAGGTATAGTCCACCTTATTAAACAAGTTATTTTCCGAGTTGATTTATATTCTTAGTGGTTTTGACACTTGACATTTGGTTTAGAAGTCACCTCATATCTAATGTACATAAGCAAGCCGTGTTTGTAACTTGTTTAGGCCTTTCTATAACTATATGTATTTTTTATGCAGATCATCTCTGGCTCCTGATGTTGACAAAGTAGTTTATGGGAGCAAAGTCCCTATTCTTCATGGTGAAAAATACTCCCTGAGATCACTGGTATGTGATAAGGGATCATATTTTTCTCCTCGATCCCTTCTCTTTCTAGCATCTCATTACACATTTTTTGTTTATGTGCTTATAAAGCAAGCATGTTAGTTCAAAGAAGAGAAGCCTGATACTTGTGCACTCAAGTTCCTGAAAAAATGTTCCCTAAAACCTGTTTTTGGTCAACAGTGTATGTTCACAACTTAAACAAGTTCCTCACACACGGCTCAATTTCCTTGCAATGATCAAATCTTAAAGCACGATGTGCATAATATACTTTTGAATTATAGTTGGAGGCTTAGAAAAGTGAAACCTGATACTTTTGCATAATGTGCATTCACAGTTTAGATCTTGAAATTTCCAAAAACCTAAGTTTTTCATCACCATTGTTTGTCCACATGGTTACAAGTGGTTACTTTGGGCTCAATTTACCTTGCATTAATCAAACCTTAACATGTGTGCATAATATTCTCCTCTGAAGTTCAACAAGTTAAACTATTTGTAGAAGTTAAAATTTCTATCTACTTCCCATCTTGCATTTATTCGTGTTGAAATAAATTCAGGTCGATCACTCCATAGTGGAGAGCTTCGCTCAAGGAGGCAGAACAGTTATAACGTCGCGAGTTT